GGAAAGAGAAGAAAAGAAAACCCGGGGAGGAAGCAAAACCCTGATTGCCTTAATGTCTTGTGATGTGCTGTCATCTCATTGTCAGTGTGGGGAGATGTATGTAAATTCTACATGGTACCTATAAGCTTCCTTTGAAATTTTGGAGTTGAAAGTACACATTGTAGGAAAAAACATTGTAGGGCTTTACAGGGAGAGACCTCTGGGTGTTTAGTTGCTCTTCACATGAACTACCTAATATAGAAAAATTATCTCTGGAGATCATTGCTGCAAGTCAAACACCCCACCCCCTGTATCTGGCATGTCTGGCAAGTTCCTTCTGAAGTTATCACTGAAGCATTTTAGGAAAGCTCTTTGATTTAACTGAAATCATTATTGACAGCATGACCACAAAATGTAGGAAACAACAACCAGAAAGGGAGGAGCACAGTGGATTTTGAGCCTGTGCTGCCTTTTGCCAGGGCACTAACAGCCAGAGAAGGATGCAGGGTGCCTTCATGCCCCCCAGCACAGAGACTGACATTGGATCTTTTCCTAATAACTGACTCTAAAAACTGACCCAGAAGTTGAAGCACTGTTCCTTCCACACACGTGGGGATACACCCAGGGCAACAGAACAGGCTCTCAGCACTCCAAGTGGTTTGATAAGACACCTTACACCCTCATTACTGGGATTTGCCAATTATTGCCAGACCCTGTCTGAGCAGTCATGCACCCACCTGGGGTGGGTTTAGATCTGGTCTGTAAAGGACACATGCAACGATGGTGCCAGTTTTGGGAGAAGACGGACTCTTCTGGCTGTTGTAGACTGATACAGCCATGAGCTTCCCAGGCAGGGATGGCTTTTCTGTTTTATGTTCACACCATCTGTGAGGGCCAGGCCTGTACCTGGTGCTCTGGGGGCTCTGGGGGCTCAGGCACAAGACAGCAGGGCAGTTATGAACCACCCAGCACCGTCCCTCAGCAGACAGTGGGAGTCCTGCCCCTCGTTACCAGGGGAGTTATTAGGAAGTGATTCACTAACTGTGAATGCCATGGCCATCAGAAGTAAAATGAGAAAGCATCAGCTGGAACATCTGGCCGTTCCCCTGGGGGAAGAGGCACCTCTGTCAGCCAGGACAGGCAGAGCCCCAGTGCCAAGGGCACCGCGCAGCAGACGGGGACAGACGGTGGGTTCCTCCTCTCCGTGCACTCAGCCCTGGGGGTCCCTGTGTTCCCACTGCGTGCTGTTGGGCTTCTACCCCTCTCTGACAGACCCCCCATGCCCTGGTACCTGCTCACCGTGCCAGAACTCACACACACACCTTTGCCTTTCCGTGGTCCCCAGCATTGGGATGATCCTGGTTTCCACAGCAGCATCCAGCACCTCATCTCCACTTCTTCAAAAAAATCCTCTCCCTCCAACAACAGGACTCGGTTCCTCACTCTGCCTTTCAGAAACACCTACAAGGTTTTAGCCCTTTGGTTTTTACAGCACAGACTTCTCTTTTCTTGTGCCTGTTTATTTTTCCTCAGCCCTTTTGTTCCCTCCCTGATGCTTCCCTTTGGATTGCTGTTTAGTCTTGTAGTGACTGGGCTTTGAAGGCTGGCTTGAAGTGCTGATTCTGTGTCGGGTTGGTTTTTCTCAGGGATTTTACAGCCCACCCTGGTGAACCTACTGAAGCACACAGAATTTTAAATGACTCTGCTTAGCTGTCAGCAAACTAAACACAGACATCTAAGACACACTTGTTAAAAGTTCTCCTTAGAAATTCAAAAGGTTTCAATGCCTTAATATTCAACAAAAGAAGAAGGGGTTTGTAGCTGTGCAGGCTGGAAACAGGATGCTGCAGGCTTCCAGAGCTGTAGTGTGCTCACCTTGTGCCTGTACCAAGGAGCAGCTCCAGCTGCTCGAGCCATCCCCAGCCACTGTAGCATTCATGGCCAGCTCATGAATTTTTCACTGCTGCTCCCTGTGTGGTGCCAGGTCTCACTGATACCTCCTGCTTTGTCAGAAATGGGCTGTACATAGTGGCTCCAGGGAGAGCCAGCCAGTCAGAATGCTGGACTTTCTAGGAGAGCACTGAAGATTTAAGCTACTCGGTTGAGAGGGCCTGTGACCCATGGCCTTGGTGGCCAAAAACCTGCCCAGAAATGCAGAATCAGGGATAATTCCAACAAAAGCCAGGGGTTTTGAGACTATGTAATCTCCATACTTGCCCCCGAGGAGGCACCTGAAATGGTTACTCTCTGTCTTGGCTTTCTTCCCATCTCCCCTCCAGGCATTGTCCGTGCCTCCAGTGTGTTCCCCATCCTGAGCACAATATTGCTGTTGCTGGGAGGACTCTGTGTTGGAGCAGGAAGGATTTACAACAGCAAAAACAACATTATTCTCAGTGCTGGGATTCTCTTTGTTGCAGCAGGTAAGTTTTCTTTAAATTGAGTCCTTCAGAAGTGCTGCCTTTTAAAACTTTTTGAGAAGGACTGTGGGAAAGCTTGTTGGCAGCTCTCCCCCTGTGTCCCTTTCCTGGATCAAGGGCACTACCAGCATCACACTAGGCAAATTTCTTAAGCTAAAAATGTATTTTTGAAGCTCTATAATAAATATATTCTAGAAAAGCCTGTTATTTTCCTGAAAAATGAAGCTAAAGCCAGTAACATGCAGGTTTTACACCACCTTAAAAGTTTTAAGCATTAGATGAATCAGGTGTGTCTTATGTCCAAGGCCTTTTTGCTTCTTCTTCCTTTATATGATGGCAGAAAAATTTCACCTATGGTAGGTGAGCCTGTTTTTCACACTAGAAACATCTGAGAGAATCAGGCACATTGTTAACAGCTTTCCCTGCAGCTGGGATTAGGCATGCTGCATTTAGATGAAAATTCAGCAAGGTGGAAGAGAACTTATCTTGATCAAGGTGAACAGTCCTAGCCCTGAGCTCCAAATGTATTTGTATTATTATTCTGAATGTTAGAATCCCATGAACAATATTAGCTTGCTCCTTTATGCTGCTTCTGGCTCCCTGTGACAATGAAGAGCTGGAAGCAAACCCTGCTGAACATTTTGGGGTCCATGCAAACATACGTGACCCAGACCTGGATCTACTCTTCATTTTTCAAGAATAAAGGAAATCTTGATATAAATGAAAGAGTAAATAAATGTAATGAAATTTCCTGGTCATAATCTTTGAACGGTTCAGGTTGAGAAAGCAACACGGCTTGAATTTTATCTTCCCAGCCAAATAACCACTGATTTATATTTTTCTCTTTAGGACTAAGTAATATCATAGGGATCATTGTCTACATATCAAGCAACACGGGTGACCCAAGTGACAAGCGAGATGAGGACAAGAAGAACCATTACAACTATGGTTGGTCCTTTTATTTTGGAGCTTTGTCTTTTATTGTGGCTGAAACTGTCGGTGTTCTGGCTGTGAACATTTATATTGAGAAAAACAAGGAGCTGAGGTTTAAGACCAAGAGGGAATTCCTTAAGACTTCTTCCAGTTCTCCTTATGCCAGGATGCCAAGTTATAGGTACAGGAGGCGGCGGTCCAGGTCCAGCTCTCGATCCACAGAGCCTTCTCCATCCAGGGACATTTCTCCAGTTGGCATGAAGATAGCAGGCACCATTCCCATGAACGAAATCTCCATGTACACTCTT